GTTTGAACCTTCTCCAACTTCCCCGCCTTCCATCTTCCATCGAGGAAAAGTTCGAGGGGTCACCGAGGGCCGTTTACTGGGGCCGCAACAAGCAATGAGGTAATGCAAAACGATCTGCCACATCGCGGTTAGTTCGGGGCCCCCTTTTGGAAATCGGTGCAAATCAAACCCCTCGCGCAAACGCTCTAGGGAGCCTCTAGAATGATCGTTTCTCCATCCCCTCATGCTGCGTTTTCCCGCACCCCCTCTGCCTCACTTTCTCAAATAAGTCGGCTTACTTTTTCTTAATTTATTATCAGGCAGCTTCCACGTCTGTCCCCGCGTCTCTTCGGCGGAGAGTCTCTGAGCTGCGCGCGCAAAAGGAATTGCAAAGCAAACGTAATCCGCTAGCATGCAATCTGTGAGTGGCTTTCGATGGCAAAACTTTGGGCTGCGGTTGCCACGAGGACAACATTTGGGCGGCCGCTCCGAAATCGACAAGGAGCGGCGCGGGCCGCGCGAATTCGATGCGGATGGACAGCGCTGCCTTTGTTGGAAAGGCTCCGGCGCCAGTGCGCACCAACGACGTCACGCCGACGGCAAGATCCATTGGCGTTCCAGGGCGAGGGCCTCGATCTCCCGAGTCTCCGTGGCCATGCGCCCATCGAGCTTATGGAGCGCTGTGAGCACGGATGGAGGCGGGCCTTTCTGCAGGACTTCCTCTGGCGGCGGCCGAAGCAAGAGCAGATCGTCCATGCAACTGGCTCTGCTGAGCATCGCGTACAGGTGCAGCCACCAGTTCTCCGCCCTCCTCTCCAGTCTGCCAATGCTCGTGTCCTGTGCGCAGTCGATGGTCACCCCGGTGCGGATCGTCTGGCCATGTGACGCGGTGGACGTCAGGAGGCGCCCGTGCGTGAGCGCGTACCCGAACCTTTTCATTCGCGCCTGCGTGGGAGCGCACGCGCGCGAACCAGCTTGAGCCAAGTTGTTTACAGATCTGGATGAGACACGAGCTCTCGCCCGCGCACCCCCCCGCCCCCGCCCCGTGCGCAGCTCTCAACGGTCATGGAAGTGCTGCGCCAGTCACGCCTTGGGAGCACGAGCCGAGTACTTGGGAAGAGGTCGAGAGCAGCTGGGGCAGTGGAGTGATGTTGGAAAGTGTCGCGCCTGCCTCGACAGAAGACCAAAACCGTGGCCTGGAGCGCCCGATTCGAATGCCTTGCGAGCCTGCATCGCATGGCGCCCCCACCGCTAGCGCACCCCCTGTGGCGTCGAGGAAATGCCGCGCCTGCCACGCCCTGCGAGCCTGCAGCGCATAGCGCCCCCGCCAGCAGCGCACCCCGTGCTGCGTCACGGAAATGCAACGCTTGCCACGCCCTGCGAGTCTGCGACGCGTGGCGCCCCAACACCCAGCGCGCCCCCTTGTGGCGTCGAGGAAGTGCAACGCTTGTCGCGCCATGCCAACCTGCAGCGCATAGCGCCCCCCCCCCCCCCCAGCGCACCCATTGTGGCGTCGAGAAATTGCCACGCTTGTCGCGTCCGGGGAGCCTGCAACGCATGGCGCCCCCACCCCCAGCGCGACCCCCGCGGCGCTGGGAAATGTCACGACTGCTACGCCCTGCGAGCCTGCAGCGCATAGCGCCCCCACCACCAACGCATCCCTTTATGGCGTCGAGGAACTGCCACGCCTGCCACGCCCTGCGAGCCTGCAGCGCATAGCGCCCCCCGCCCCCAGCGCACCCCCTGTGGCGTCGAGGAAATGTCACGCCTGTCACGACCTGCGAGCCTGCAGCGCGTAGCGCCCCCACTCCCAGCGCACCCCTTGGGGCGTCGAGGAAATGCCGCGCCTGTCACGCCCTGCGAGCCTGCAGCGCATAGCGCCCCCAGTCGCAGCGCACCCCCTGTGGCGTCGAGGAAATGCCGCGCCTGCCACGACCTGCCAGCCTGCAAGTCATATCGCCCCCACTCCCAGCGCGCCTCCTTGGCGCCCGGGAAATGCAACGCCTGCCACGCCTTGCGAGCCTGCAGCGCGTAGCGCCCCCACACCCAGCGCGCCCCCTGTGGCGTCGAAGAAATGCAACGCTTGTCGCGCCATGCGAACCTGCAACGTCTTGGGAGCCTGCAGCGCACAGCGCCCCCCACCCCCAACGCACCCCTTGTGGCGTCGAGAATTGGCCACGCCTGTCGCGTCCTGGGAGCCTGCAGCGCGGAGAGCCCCCCCACCCAGCGCACCCCCTGTGGCGCCGAGAATATTCTACGCCTGCGATGCCCTGGGCGACCGTGCGCATACGTCTTGGGTGTATGATGCACTGCGCCTGCCACGCCTGCCACGCCCTGCGAATCTCGAGCGCATGTGTTCTGCGTGTGTGCATGCGTGCGGCTGTCTGTAGAGCGCGTGTTTCATATGGGTGCCGTGCACGTGGTGCGCGCGGGTGAGGCGAGGAAGATGAGAGGCAGAGGAGGGGAAGAGGGTGGTGTGTGTGTGGGAAGAGACGCGGGTGCGACGCGGCAAGGAAGAACACCATAGCCCCATTTAGCATGTGGGGGAAGCCGTAATGCATGACCAGGGAATTTCCATCGCCCAGCGAGAGCCCCGTTTCGAAAAGGAACCGCCCTCCATCAGCGTAGTTGGCTGTCGTACTGTTCTCCAATGCTGCTCTTAGGACCAGACAAGGCCTCGAGCGAGAGCCCACTTTCAAACAAAGAGCCGCTCTCCGTGCGTGTCGTTGGTGCAAGCGTTTCAGCTGAATGTGCGAGGCGCTGTGGCGAGAGCCGCATTCCAAACGCGACTTCGCCTGCATCCGCGCAGCTATCTGGACCTTTCCAGGGGGTGTGCACGACAGGACTGCGATCTTTAATGGTGTGACAGCGACCTCGACCCCATCCGTGTGCTTGGGCGGGGAGCTTCTAAGCCGCGGCGCTCGGGGCGATAGGCACATTTTGAACACCGCCCGCCCTCCATCCACACAGATGTACGTCTTTGGAATTTTCAAGCTTCGTGGGCACGCAGTGGAAACCGATGTCAAAACAAAACACCCTGCTTGCCTCCAGGGTGTATTGGGTTGCTTGGGTTTCGATGGTTTTGCTATGGAAAAAGGTGGCTTTCCCACACCCTCGTTCTCGCTCTCGCTTCCTCCTCGCTCGTGTCTTCGTCGTCGAGGTGGGGCCAGGTCCTGAGAACCTCGGTCGCTTGACCGAAACCCACAAGAGCTGCCAATCCCCCGTTGCTTCTGCCCTGGTAGATCGGCGCTCCTTTTGCTTGGGCCCAAACGCCGGCGCTGCAGGTAAGCATGTCAGTCCAGTGAAACAGGGGAAAACGGGTCTTGACCCCCACAAATCACACACCAAAAATCAATGGACGTCCTGGGGTCTCAGGGTTGGGTTTCTTGTGGAAGGTTTCTTGTGGCCGGGTTTCTACTGTAGCGGAGGAGGGGGGCCAGAGGAGGGAAGAGGTGGACCCGTACAATTGCTCGATTCCCAGAAGTCGACCTGCTGGCCGCTTTCTCCGGGGTGCTGCGCGGGAGTGCGGAGTTGACCCGCGTTTGCGCGCATCCGCCGGGGCGCGGCGCCCGAAGCTGTGGTGGCCCAGGCCTGGGCAGGCGTTGCCTCGGAGGCGGCGCGCTGGCGCGCTGCGAGGGCGCTGCCGCCGCTGCGGCGGCGGGAAGGGCTGCTGCCGTTGCTGCTGCTGCTGCTGCTGCTCGCCGGCGAGGCCGCGGGCTCGCCGCGCCCTGCGCGAGGCGTCGGCGGCGCGACGCGCGGCGCCCCGCAGCGGGTGCTCCTGCGCCCGCGCCCGTGAGAGCGCGCCCGGGGCGCGCCCGCGCCTTCAGTGCCCACTGGGGCTCTGCCCTTAAGGGGTCTCTCGCTCGCTTCGGGGGCCACATGCGAGCCCTGCCCCCGCCCCCCACGATCTCAGAGGGGGAGGGTGGGGTTCCCTCTTTTCGGGAGCTCTCGAGCGAAGTGAGCCCCACCCTCCGCCGCAGAAGTCGTGGGGGGACGGGTAGGGTTCGTATGTGGCCCCCTCGCTCGTTCGCGAGAGGGGACCGGTGGTTGCGGGGGGCCAATTCAGAGGCGGCCCTGGGTGTTGCCCGGTTCCCTGGTCTGGGTTTCCTTAGACCTGCTCCTTGGGCTCCCCAGTCGCTTTGTGGTTCCCCCGTCGCGTTCTTTGCCTTTCTTTCTCGCGGGTTCCCCGGTCTTGTTCCTCGGGTTCCCTGATCTTCTTCCTCGTCTTCTTTTCTCGGGCTCCCTGGTCTTGCTCTTTGTTTCCCGATCGTTGTAGCACCAAGCAATGCTAAACATTACCGAGCAATACGAATCAATGCCCAGCAATTTCAAGTAATACCAATCTCGAAGAAACAGTGCCAATCAATGCCAAGCAATGCCAAGCAACGATTCCAAGCACTGCCAAGCAACGGCAAGCAACGCCAAGCAGTACTAAGCAATGCCAAGCACTGGTAAATAATGCCAGGCTTTGCCAAGCATCGCCAAGAAATGCCAAGCACTGTCAAGCAACTCCAAGCAATGCCAAGCCTATGCCAAGCCAATGTCAATCACTGCCATGTAATGCCAAGCAAAGCCAAGCAATGCCAACGAATGCAAATCAACGCCAAGCATTGCCCAGCAATGTCCAGCAATTCCAAGTAATGCCAAGCAGCGCCAAGCAATGTCAAGCAATGCCAACCAATGGTTTGCATTTGCTTTCCATTGCCCAGAACTGCGTTGTATTGCTGCGGAAGAGAGAAACCTCAACTTGGGGTCGCGCTGGAGTCATTAGATGAACAAGCTTCATAAGCATACACTTTCTAGTGTCTTCGCAGGTTTATTGGATCGTCGCTGTACCCCCGTCCCATCCTTGGACCGCAGTGGTCCGACGACCATCCATGAGATCCGCGCGGACTTCCTACATGCAGATTTTGCTAATCTCACCTACTCTTCATTCCGTCCCTCTCTCACTTCCTTCCTTCCCTCTTCCCGTCTCCTCGTGCAGATCTCTTTCTCTTCCTCCTCCTGCTCTCCCACCGCAGCGGTTTGATCAGGACTGTTCAGGGGCCCTCGGGGTGGCGGCAAGCAGCTTTTGCTCCCCTCCCGATACATTTCTGGGCCCGGTTGCAGCGGGCGTCAGCTGCTTGCCCAGCGTACCAGTCGCCCGGTGCCGGCGGCATCACGTCCGAGCAGCAGCATCAGCAGCAGCAGCAGCAATGGCAACAACTGGATCATCTGATAAGATGCCTGATCGACCTGATCCATTCGCACTGGCTGACGTCATTCCCGGTAGACTTGCGTGGGCTGCAGACGGCCTTGGGATCGACGCGAGCGACCCGCGCGCTTCCTACTTCCGCCTCGAGACCTGGAAAATAGATGTCCAGGCCTTCAACTGCGGAGCCTTTCGAGTCATGCACTACGACAGGATTCGACGAAGACGAAAGCATAGCCGTAACTTTTCGAAGGTCCACGCGGACTTTCGAAAGGTCATTCCCTCAACCGTGCTGGCACTCTGGGCTCTTGAATGCAGTCCAAAAGGTTTTAGGTGGGTGTCGGAGTTTTGCCTGGTGCCCCAGTGGTGGTCGGTCGTGGGCGAACCGTGTGCTCTGTGTGTGTGTGTGTGCGTGTGTTAGTGAGGCCCTCCCCGCGGCCACCCGCTCCGTCCCTCCTCCCCCTCTTGCATGCTGGCCAATTCGCTGCGACGATGTCCCCGTTTAGTTGGCTTATCCCGCCAGCGCAGGCGGCTCCTGCCTAGCCGCCGGCGAAAAAGTGTGTGTGTGTGCTGTGTGCGGTGTGCTGTGTGCTGTGTGCTGTGTGCTGTGTGTGTGTGTGTGTGTGAAAGTGTGTGTGTGTGTGTGTGTGTGCGTGTGTGTGTGTGTGTGTGTGTGTGTGTGTGTGTGTGTGTGTGTGTGTGTGTGTGCGTGCGTGCGTGCGTGCGTGCGTGCGTGTGTGTGTGTGTGTGTGTGTGTGTGCTGTGCTGTATGTGTGTGTGCTGTGTGCTGTGTGCTGTGTGCTGTGTGCTGTGTGCTGTGTGCTGTGTGCTGTGTGTGTGTTTGTGGCGAAAAAGTGTGTGTGTGTGTGTGTGTGTGTGTGTGTGTGTGAGTGTGTTTGTGCTGTGTGCTGTGTGCTGTGTGCTGTGAGCGGTGTGCTGTGTGCTGTGTGCTGTGTGCGGTGTGCGGTGTGCGGGGTGTGGAGGCTTCGCCTGGTGCCCTCCCCTGGGCGCCTCGCGGGCGCCCGTCGTACGCTGGGCGGGCGTGCCGAGGCCTCGCGCCCGGTTGCCTGCCCGTGGGCTCTCCCCCCGGGCGCCTCGTCCGCCGGGTGGGCGCGCCTGGGCGGGCGCGCGGTGCCCTCGCGTGGGCGCCGCATGGGCGCCCCGTTTGCGGCCGCAGAGCTTGCCTTGGCATCGCTCGGACGTGTGCATTTGCTTCTCGGCGAGAACCATCGAGGACCATCCTGGACCATCGAGCAACAAAAACACGCACGACACCGAACAATGCACAGGAACTGGACGCCCGAGCGATGGCAAGTTGCGCCACAGGGCTTGCGCCGCCTAGTTTGCACCACGCATCCTGCATTCCGGCGGGCATGGCCCTCCACAGGAGGAGTAGTGTTTCCACTATTTTTGTCTATCGTGGAGTATTGTTTGACTATGTTGTGTTTTTCTTTCCAAATCCGCCTGTAGGAGGACATGCCCGACCTAAATCTTGCACCACATTGCTCAATCACTTGCACTGCATAGCTTGCATCACGCTCGCATCACAGAAGCAGCTTCTACCACACACGATGGCCCGCATAGTTGTTACACCACAGCGCTTATACCAGATCCAGCCGCCTACCGCACGTCCCGCCACCGTGCCTGGGTTGTGGGTTATGAGCCTAGTGGATGTTCGTTGGAATCCCGCGGGAGGCCTCTCGGGGGCCTCTTGCAGGCAGTTTTGGGGTTTCTTTGGGAACGTTTTGGGGCCTCTTGGGGGCGTCTTGGGGCCTCTTGGGGGCGTCTTGGGGGCCTCTTGGGGGGCTCTTGGGGGGCTCTTGGGCGCCTCTTGGGGCATCCTGGGGGCCCCTTGGGGCGGAAGGCTCGGATTTTCGGTTCGTGTTCCCTCTCTGGGGCCCTTTTGGAGCCGTCTTGGGGCCCTCTTGGGCCGTCTTGGGCGCCTCCTGGGCCGTCTTGGAGCGCTCTGAGGCCGTTTTGGCGCCCTATTGGGGGCCCTATTGGAGGCCTCTTGGGCCGTCTTGGAGCGTCGGAAAGCCAGAACGGCGAGAACGTCCAAATCCTTTAAACATGCTTGGGAAATCAATGATGTTTGCCTGTGTGTGCCCTCTTGGGAGGCCTCCTGGAGGCCTCTTGGGGCGCCTTGGAAGCCTCTTGCGCCACCTTGAGGCCATCTTGGGCGTCTTCGAGCGATCGTTCGGCGACTCGGAGCCCTCCTGGACCGTCTCGGGAGCCTCCTGGGCCGTCATGGAAGCCTTGGAGAGCCGCAGGGAGGCGCCACGGCCGCCCAGGGACGAAGTATGGCCGGTGCGCGCAACGAGGTGCGGCCTGGATAGGGGGGGCCTTTGTAATATTACAGAAACCATGCCAGGCGGCATTTGGCATTCTAGCATGCCTCAACGTGCCAGGGGGCTGCGCCACATAGCATGCACCGCACCGCTTACATCATATAGCTTACTCCCCGCAGGGATTGGACCACATCGCTTGCACCACACTGTGCCGACATTCGCGCGTCAGCTTCTCGCGTAAGGTCGCGAGTAAGCGCCCTCGTTTCAAATCCAGCGTGCCGCGCTGGCGGCCCGCGCAAACCACCGCGTAAGGTCGCTATGCCATTTGCGTAAGGCCCCTGTCTTTTTGTCGTTCACGCAGCTTGCGTCACACAACTTCAACCACATAGCTGCACCGCATAGCTTACGCCACATAGCTTGTAGCGCACAGCCTGCACCACATAGCTTACTCCATATGGTTTTGCACCCAACACTTTGCCCATCCAGAGCGCAATGACTGACGGTTTGGGGTCCACGCTGGCAATCATATTTATGTTGTGTTTCTTCTTCGCAGGAAGGTCCTTGGCAACGCCTTCGGGCCCCTGTCCCTCGTCCAGGCGGTTGTCTTTTCAGAGGAGCTGGCTGTGGCCCTTGGGCGCAACAGCGCCGTCCTGGTGCGGCACAAGGCGACCACGGAGGACCATGCCAACACCGCCGTCCTGCTCGGATGCTACCTGATCACCCGGGAGGGTTGGACGGTGCACGAGCTCGTACAGGCCCTGCCTGTAGAAGCTGGGATCCGGTTCCCCTGCCAGTGGGACCGCACATGCAGGAAGCAGGAGCCGGTGATGACCGTTCAGGACTGCTGGGCGGGCGTCCAGCTGGCGAAGGAGTTGGGATGGCTTCACTCTGGCCCGGCCGCCTCTGCCCACCTGCCGCTGTCGATCAGCCAGCAGCTGCGCATGCTTGCGGAGTACGACGCTGCTTGGATGGTCCCAGACAGGGTGCTCGCGATGGCGGACCCCATGACCACGATCAGGGACCCAAACCCGGCCACGTGCAGCCGCTTCTCCGGCAGACCTCACACCGAGGAGAGCCTCTGGGATATGGAGCCGCCCACGGCCCAGAGGCGGGACACCAGCCACCAGCGGCAGGTCACTCAGGAAACGTGCGACACCAGCGACCTGGAGTCGGACGCGCTAAGCACAGGAGAGTTGGTACCTCCGTGCGCTGGATACGCACGGAAGGTCTCCGTCGAGAACGTCGAGTCCACTTCGACGGCACCCAACATCGACGGACCACAGCAAAGGCTGCTAGTGTATCCGGGTGAGCGCCCCGAGGACAGGACTTCCACGGACAGCGTCGCCAGCGTTTGCAAGCGCGACAACCGGGACGAGCAAATATCCACCATGGCGCGGAGCGGTGTGGACATTCCAGATTTCGTGACATTCTGTCGCAAGAACCGTATCGCTACCGTCGTTCGCACGAACTCGGGTCAGGAGGAAGGCCTGGTCGAAGATGGCGGCAGCTACCACCCCGCCGAACTGCGCCGCCATGGCATACGGCACGTGGATCTGTTCGTAAACGACACCAGGGGCTCCTTGCCGCGTGTTGATGTCATTCAGCAATTCTTAGACTGCGCGAAGCACATGGGCCTCATTGACAAGGCGCACTGATTCCGCCTCCCCCTCCTCTCCCCCTCCCCCTTCTTCTCCTCGCATACGTCGCCTGTCCAATACTCCTCATCATTGGTCCCCCTCCTCCTTCCTTCCTTACTTCCTTCCTTCCTTCATTATTCCTCCTTTCCTTCTGCTTCTCCTCCTCCTGCTCCTACTCCTAATCCTCCTCCTCCTCCTCGCAAATGGCCCTCCTGAAGGATGATGCGCAGAGTGCATCGGACGAGAGTCCTGTCCTGCTCGTCCACTGCAAGAGCGGCTTCGGCCGCAGTGTGCTCCTGGCGTGCTGCCTTATGGTGTTCCAGTACGACGTCCCAGGCAGAGCCCTGGGTTAGGAGGGGGAGGAAGAAGGAAGGACGAGGCACGTCCCGAGAGAGTTTCGTTTCGGCAGCTCGTCCCGCCATGTATTGGGAGAGTGAGGCGGGAGCCACTGGAAGTCGTGTAGGGGATCGACTACACAGTTTATCCCCTCAAATTGATTATTTAATCGCTTCGCTCATTCCGCCGGCCCATATTGTCGCACCGTTGTTGGCTAGCCGAGTTTTGGGGCCTCTTGGGGGCCGTTTTGGGGCCTCTTGGGGCCTCTTTTGGGCCTCTTGGGCGCCTCTTGGGGCGTCTTGGGGGCCTCTTGGGGGCCTCTTGGGGCCTTTTTGGGGCCTCCTGGGCGCCTTCTGGGGCGGAGGGCTCGATTTTTCAGTTCTCGGTTCCCCTCTTGAGCCCCTCTTGGGCCCGTCTTGGGGCCTCTTGGTCCGTCTTGGGCGGCACTTGGGCCGTCTTGGGGGCCCTCCTGGGCCGTTCCGGGGCCGTCTTGGGAGCCTCGTGGGCCGTCTTGGAGCGGTCTTGGGGGCCTCTTGGGCCGTCTTGGAGCGTCCGGAAGCCGAAAAAGCCAGAACGCAAAAAACATAGAAAAAAACAATGAAAATCAACGATTTTGGCCTCTTGGGGCCCTCTTCGGAGGCCTCTTGGAAGGCCCTTGGGGCGTCTTGGAGGCCTCTTGGGCTGTCTTGGGGCCCTGTTGGGCGTCTTCGGGCGATCTTTGGCCGTCTCGGGGCCCTCTTGGACCGTCTTGGAGGCTTCTTGGGGACCTCTTGGCCCGTCCTGGGGCCCTGTAACAGGGCTCCGGCATCTCTGGCCCGACCTTGCCGGGGACTTGCCGGGACCTTGCCGGGGTACTTTTCGTCCGGGGACCCCCAGGGGCCGCCCCGCGCGCGCGAACTAGAAATCCTGTTAACCAGGTACCGGAGATCTTAGCACGCCCTGGCCCGTTGGGCCGGCGAATTCATCCCCTCAAATTGATTATTCGGCGAATCTGCGAGACACACACGTACAGGTCTCGTAGCTCCGCGAACTTTCTACATCTGCTTTTGTCGTAGATTCGACGAGCATGTTACCTCTGGGGTAAGTCAGCTCCGCAGTCGATCTCCTACTCGAGGGAGGCACGGCCCAAGAGTTCCGCTGGGGGGCACTCGAGGGAGGCATCTCCTGCTCGCGGGCCTCGTCTCCTCCTCCCGCTCGATCTCCTGCTCGAGGGAGCCCCTCGAGGGAGGCACCTCCTGCTCGAGGGAGGCACGGCGCCGCCCTCCCCTCGGGCTGGAGGCGGGCGGGCGGGGGGGGGGCGGGGGAGGCTATCCAGGCCCCCGACGCGCGGCGCCTCTGCGGAGAGCGTGGGGGGCCCCCGGGGGGGGCCGGGCCTCGACCCCGGCCGCTGCCGCGCTGGGCTCCGCGCCGCGGGCTGTGGGCCACGAGGCCTGCAGGATTCCCCGCCTCCCTGCCTCCCTGCCTGCCTCCCTCCCTGCCTCCCTGCCCTGCCTCCCTGCCCTGCCTCCCTGCCCTGCCCCCGTCCCTGCCTCCCTCCCTGCCCCCGTCCCTCCCTCCCTACCCCCCTCCCTCCCTCCCTCCCTGCCTGCCTCCCTGCCTGCCTCCCTCCCGCCCTCCTCCGGAGGAGGAGGAAAAGGTGCCCGTGCCGCTACCCTTCGCCCGTCTTCCTTCTTTTTCGGCCTCCTGGGAGGCCCTCGTCGCCACCAGTAGATTCGCCTCGAAGGTTTGGTCAGAACGCATCCCAGGAGATGTCCACTTGGACCGCTGCGGGGGTTGCTAGGGGATACCCAGGTTAGAAGTGGATGCTGTGGTGGGTTATGTCTGGCCCAATCTAGCTTACAAGTGGAATACAAAGTGCCCGAAATTGCTACGTTGATCAAATATCTCCGCTAAATGGGCTCCGCTCAATTCGCCCAGATCTGTATGCCTTTAAGCCATTTAGGGCATGTGCAACCCACTCATAAGCTAGGTTAGGCCAGGTATAAACCACCTTTGCATCCACTTGTACCCCCCGCGGTGTCGGTACCGTTTGGTTTCCCCGAAGAGGCTCGCTGGGACGTCGACCGGGCGGCCTTGGGGGGCCACTCGTGGGCCTCTCGGGCCTCTCCGGAGCCGCTCGGTGGGGCCTGTTTTTAAGGGCGTTTTCGGGGGCCTTCAGGGGGTCTCCTGGGGTCCTCTTGGAGGCCTCTTGGGGCGGCCGTTGGGCCTCTTGGGGGCCTCTTGGGGCCGCTGTGTCGGGCCTCTCCGGGGCCGCTCGGTGGGGCCCCTTTGAGGGGCGTCTTCGGTGGCCTTCTGGGGGCCTCTGGGGGGTCTCTTGTCGACTACACGTCAGAGTGACCTTGCGCCGGAGTGACCTTTTGCGCGGGCCCACTGGGGTCCCCCGATCGCCGAACGCGATGCGGTAGCAGCGTGTTGCGCGCCCGTGTTTGGTCCCCGCGCGGGCCCCCCAAAAACCGTGCACGGAGGAGGAGGAGGAGGAGGAGGAGGAGGAGGAGGAGGAGGAGGAGGAGGAGGAGGGAGGAGGAGGAGGAGGAGGAGGAGGAGGAGGAGGAGGAGGAGGAGGAGGAGGAGGGGAGGAGGAGGAGGAGGAAGGAGGAGGAGGAGGAGGAGGGAGGAGGAGGAGGAGGAGGAGGAGGAGGAGGAGGAGGAGGAGGAGGAGGAGGAGGAGGAGAGGAGGAGGAGGAGGAGGAGGGAAGGAGGAGGAGGAGGAGGAGGGGAAGGAGGAGGAGGAGGAGGAAGAGGAGGAGGAGGAGGAGGGGGAGGAGGAGGAGGAGGAGGAGGAGGAGCAGGAGGAGCAGGAGGAGGAGGAGGAGGATTTCGGGGCGGCTGCTTTCTCGTCCCTGCCGTGTGCCGCACCAGGGCCCCGACGCGGGGCGCCAGGAGGGCCCGGGCTCAGAGAGCACGATCGGATCGTCCCGGCCGTCGCAGGGGCGCCAGGGGCGAGGCTCGAGGGCCGAGGGCCGAGGCTCAGTGGTCGAGGCTCGAGGCTCTCGAGGCTCAACGATCGAGGCTCGAGGCTCGAGGCTCGAGGCACGCAGGCCGAGGCACGCGGGCCGAGGCGCGCGCCTCGAGGCTCGAGCTTGAAGGACCGCCCGTCTCTCCGAGGCGGGCGAGGCTCCGGGCGGCTCCCAGGCAGGGGCCCCCCCCCCCCCCCACGGGAGCCCCGGCAGGCTGCAGCAGGCTCCCCGATCGTGCTCCAGGGCGGCCTCCACGCCCCGGCCCCGCGGCGCGGGGCGCTCCAGGTGCGCCGCCAGGGGTTGCGCCGGGGTGTTCAGACCGCCCTGGACTACAGTCAAAAACCCTAGTAAGGACGCGCGGCTTTGCTCAGGGTACCCTTGCGTCCTTGCTCTTCCTTGCTCTTGCGTCCTTGGGGTTTTCGTCGTCCGCCGCTCCCAAAATCCCAACTTCGGCTTCCAAGGGTCTTGCGTCCTTGCCGCGCGTCCTTATTTGGGTTTTTGGCTGTACTCCAGGGGGCCCGCTGAGGCCAGACGGGACTACCTGAGGGGCATGTCTGTGCGCACTCCGAAGCCTTCATTGCCAGGGGGGGCGGGCGGCAGGCAGAGCCCTGCTGGGGTGGGCCCGTCTCGTCCGGCCCGGCGCCATCACCGTGCGGGAGCAGGAGGTCTTCCTGTGCGACCTCGGCGGCAGAGAGGACCGGCCGCCGACGGCGTCCGCCGCCTTGAGGCCGAGATGAGCCCCTGCACATCTGCGCGTGTTCCATCTTGCGGAAGTGCTCCCCAGCCCAGCCTGGGGGTGCAAAGCTCATGGGTCTGGGGGTCCTCTGTACCCTCACCTCGCACTCCCTCCTCTCCACGCCTGTTCAGTCCCCGATCCCTCCCTAGCCTGGCTGCTCAAACCCTTTCATTCCCTCCCCAGGTTCCCTATGTCTGCGTTTCTTGTCTCTGCGCCTGCTTCTCCGGTATGTACCGACAGGATTACCTTGCGGGTTCTTAGGAGGTTGGGGGATGGGACTTAGCGTTGAACGATTAGCACTCGCAAACACCAGGACAACCATCGTGACAAGCACGGGGCAACCATCGGGACAACGATAGGGGCAACCACCGCGACAGCAAACGAGACAACCGTCGGGACCACCATCAAGGAAGCTATCGGGACAACCATCGAGACAACTATCGGGACAACCATCGGGACATCCATCATGATAGCCATCGGGCCAACTATCGGGACAACTTTCGGGACAATCATCGGGACAACTGTCGAGACAACAATAGGGACAACCGTCAGGACAACCATTTGGGCAACCGTGGGGGCTTTCGTCGGGAGAACCATCGGGTCAACCATCGGGACTGCCATCATGAAAGTCATAGGACAGCCATCGGGACAACAACCATCATGACAACCGTCGGGACGCCTATCGGGTCAACCGTCGGGACAATTGTCAGGACAATAGTCGGGACAACCATCGGGACAACGTTCGGGACAATCATCGGGACAACCATCGGGACATCTATCCTCTTCCTCCTCCTCCTCCTCCTCCTTCCTTTCCTCGACCTCCCCCTCCTCTGCGAGGACCTGCAGAGGATGCTCGACGAGGGGCGCTCCTCCAGCGAGGTGAGGTGCGACTCGTGGTGTGCGGTACAGTGAGCGGGCCAGAGGTTTGTTGTCGCCATCCTCCTTCCCCTCCTCCCCTCCTCCTCTCCTCCTCCTCCTCCTCCTCCTCCTCCCTCCCTCCCTCCCTCCCTCCCTCCCTCCCTCCTCCCTCCTACCCCTCACCCGCCTCCTCCTCCTCCCCTTCCCCCCTGTCCTTCTTATCCTCCTTCTTGTCGTGGTCGTCGTCGTCGTCCTCCTCCTCCTCCTCCTCCTCCTCCTCCTCCTCCCTACTCATCCTTTTCACGTCTCCTCCCTTTCTCATCCCTCCTCCTCCTCCTCCGTCCCCATCCCCCCTTTCTTCTCCTCCTCCTCCTCCTCGTCCTCCTCCCCCCCCTCCTCCTCCTCCTCCCTCCTCCTCCTCCTCCTCCTCCTCCTCCTCCTTTTTCTCCCCCTCCTCGTCCTCCTCGTCCTCCTCGTCCTCCTCCTTCTCCCCCTCCTCCTCATCCCCTTGCTCCTTCTCCTTGTCCTCCTCTTCCTCCTCGTCCTGCAAGCGAAGGTACATACGCATGGCCGAGGTGCGGTCCTGGAGTTCCCGAAACTGTAGAAGTGTCAGGCAAAGTTTCTTGGCAGAAGGGTCCAAGACGCCACGTACTTGGGGCCTTGCCTCAACAGAACAATTGTTGGCGGCCTTGTTCGGCAATTGGGACATCGAGGTCCCCCCCCCCGCGGTGCTACCGACAAGGCAATCATTCAGATGCTGAAGGACATGGAGATTGCAAACCTTGCTTACATGGACAACCATATCTCTGCACCCCATTTATTATCCGAGGAGGCCAACGAGGCAATGCTGCGCTGGAGCCCGAAGGAGAGGAGGCAGTCCTACATGAGTGTCTACGTAGCTCCGTCTGGCAACAGACGTGAAGTCCAAACGGACCTGGAGCGCGAGCCAGCTGTGCTGAGCGAGAAACTTGGGTGGGTTCGCTTCGCGACGGAGAGTGAAACGATCGGCGGGATGACGGTCGCGACAAACCCTGAATGCCAGCTTATAACAGTCATGGATTTCAGAAACCAGCGTACCTGATCACGCCCAGTGGCCAGTGCTTAGTCTGTGGGTCAGTAGTCGCAGAACGGGCAAATGCAGCTCAACTTGTGGATGCACCCGCTCGCAGGATAATGCATTATGATAGCACTCGAATTCGAAACGGTCGGCAAGTGCAGGATACAGAGATGGATTTCCCAGCATCTCTTCATCACGTACCCTCAACTGGCATTTCACGTCGATCTTTGTGCGCGCTTGCCGAACTGCGTCCTCCCAGCCAGAGGGCATGCCAGACGATCAGATGGAGGTGGCGGCGGCGGCGACAAGCTTCGAGGGCACACCGGCGTGGGCGAGCAACCAGCAGACGGACAGCGAAGAGCCAAGAAGCGGACGAAAGGCGCTGGCAAGGGTTCAATGGACAACGCATATTGGCTGGCCAGCACCACAGGCAGGCTGACCCTGACGCTGGCAAGGGGGAGCGCTGCATTAGCATCAGTAGTCTACCAAACCTGGGAGGCCCCGTCCGAAAATACGATTCTCGTAGCAGCTGCAGAAACGGGCGCGAAGTACATAAAGCACGTGCAGACACTGCACCATGCCATGAGGGAGGGAAGGGAAGACTATGGATCCAAGCTGGGCTCACCTTGTCTAGCCATTTCAGTAATGTCTATTGGCGAGAAGCTTCCCTTTGCCGAGATGTTAGTATCCTTCTGGCAGATTGCAATAAGAAGGTACATAACCCCGACCCGTACGCGCTTGGCGAGACCATATCGTACATTTCAGCCACGGAGCAGTGGGGCATATCCTCGCAAAGTCCCTGCTGTCGGAGAAGGCCCATCGCTAACAGGGAATAGCACCGCGAGGCTTGCAGGAGAGAAAGAGACACAGAAATAGAGTGTGATATATATAGAGAGAGAGAGAGAGAGTGAGAGAGAGAGAGAGAGCTACGAGATACCAGAGCAGAGACCACCGCAGGAGTAGGTGGCCAGAGTCTGAGTCTCTCCGCCTCCTCCAGCTGCCCCCTATGAGTTTCGAGACAGTGCCAGATATCGCGAGTTCAGAAGCAGAGGACGCATTCGGTCGCCTGCGCCCCTGCTCCGCGCTTCGCCTTGTCTAAGTTTAGGCTCATGACTTCCCCCCAGGATCTACTGGCGCCGAGGCCATCAGAGCCCGAATCAAGCGAGGAGGAAGCAACAGCCGTTGGCAAATGAGGGGGGGAGGGATGACAGCAGGCGGAGGCACATAGTAGAGGAAACTAATGAGTCACTGAATGTCAGGAGTATAGTGTGGGTGCCACCCAGCCCCTCGCCCCTCGCCCCAAGTGTAGGGGAACATTGGGTCCTAGCTTGGCGCCAGCTTTCATGCGCCTGTACCCTCAAGACAGATCCAGACAGTTGTTCGGGTATTAACCTCTTAGGGAGCGTACGAGGGCGTCCGTTGGATCCTAGGCCTGCCGCTTAGTGTTCATTGTTCATTGTTCTCCTCCCCCTCCTCCTTCCTCCTCCTCCTTCTCCCCTCCTTCCCCTCTTCTTCCACCTCCTCCCCTCCTCCCCCTCCCTATCCTCCTCTTCTTCCCCTTCCTCCCCTCCTTGTTCTTCTTCTACTTGTCGTCGTCATCCGCCTCCTATTCCTCCTCCTCTTCCTCCTCGTCCCCCTCACTCCTCATTCCCCCTCCCGCTCCCAGGGTAACCATTTGAGTCAACGCGCGCCGTCAACCTGTCTGGCCGCCTTGACAGGCGCTGCCTTGTCGGCGGTGCCCTGTCCTCCTGCCCCCCCCCAACCTGCCTTGCCCCGTGACTGGCGTCCCCGTCGCTGCCCGTTCTGGAGCTGCGCGACCACGGCGCGAGCAGCGCCATCGCAGCACCGGTCGCCACGTGCAGTGGCTCGCGTCGCTGCTCCAGACGCGCAGCTTCCACCACACTCAGAGTGGCGGCCGTGGGGGAGTGCGTGCTCTCAAGGCCGAGGTGAAGCGCCTCCAGGGCAGGGTCGCGGAACTCGTTCTGCTGCCCCATAGTGTTGCGTACATGCACGTCTGTCGCCCCACGGCTGGCGCGCCCAAGAAGGAGTTCGTGGCAGAGAAGACCAAGGACAACGTTCGTCCTGACGAACCTCTTGGAGAAGCTCATGATGACGGTGCTGCTGGTGATGATGTTGATGACCAGAGTCTTCCCTGGCCACCTCTGGCTCATGGTCACGCGGTGCTTGTTGCCAGTCCCGACAATCCGCGGCGTCGGGTTGCGTCTGCCATGATCACGACGATCGCGCCGGTAACAATGGCAAAGACAACGGCCAAGAAGGAAGCAACGCAGTAGTGTCCCCGCCACCTTGCAGTGCGTGCCACGCCTGCGTCTGGTCGCAACGCTTCGTAAAAGGCGCTCGTTGCTCGTTCCAAGGTGTTGGGGTGCATGATGACGATGAACGGGAGCGCGAAGTCGAGTTCGAAGCAATGCTGGCGGCTGTCTGGGCTAAGTTCCATGCGATGAGGTTACGCGTGCTCAGTAGTGACGCCTTTGAGGTCCAGCGTCTCCGTCTTTCCGCTGCCACGGTTTCGAAATCAGCTTCATGGTGTTCCAGGACGTGGAATTTGACAGTGTCGTTGAGGCGCCAGCAACGCACGACACAGAACAATGCTGCGATAATTTGTGCCTCCCGGAGTAAGGCCAGGCGAGGCTTACCTCGCTTGGGCAAAGAGAGATACTCTTGCCTCACAAGACAAATCTGAACGTGCAGGGGTGTCTTGTTGTTTGGGGCCGACTTGCGGGTACATTGCAGATGGGTTGGTCGCCTGGCACGCGTGCACGACGACTAATGGGCAAGAGCAACCGCAATGTGGAGGGACCCTGACTGGTCGAGCCATCAAGACATATTTTCGTTCAAGGCCGCTGAGAGATACCGACGAAGAGAGTTTCGCAGATGGGAAGACGAGTTGGCCACGTTCGCAACTGTTAGACAGTGGGGGCAATGGGCCATCGCAACCGCCACTGTCGATTGGGACATGGGACACGCACCTGGAGGAGCTCGTGAATTTCACGTGGACGTGCGGGTGTACCTGCGCTGCGATCTCTCCGTGCCCTTTCTGGAGCCCAGCTTTGGGTCGCCGGCTGCGGTGATGACAGCTCGTTCGTTCCCTCGGCTGATGCGATGGATCGCTCCTGCCGCGGTCCGGCCGGGTTTTGAGCTGTTGGCCGGTCCTTTCCTCATCGTGCTGGTCGATGTAATTCTCTTGCTTTCTCTTTCGTGGGACGCGCCGGATTCGTGGCCCGCCATGTCCAGAATCCAGCACGCCCCTCCCCGTCACTCCTCCCTTTTCCCGTCCTCCTCTTCCGTCTCCTTCCCTACTCGTCGTCCTCATCATTCCTCCTCCTCCTCGTCCTCCTCCTCCTTCTCCCCCTCCTCCTCCTCTTGCTCCTCCTCCTCCTCCTCCTCCTCTTCCTCCTTCCCTCCTTTTCCTCCCCTCCTCTTCCTTCTCCTCGTCCTCGTTCTCCCTTTCCTCCTCTCCCCCCCCCTCCTCCTCCTTTTTCTCCTCCTCTGCCTCCTCTTCCTCCTCCTGGTCCTCTTCCTCGCTCCTCCCCGTCCCAGGACTCCGTCCTTCTCTCCATCCTCCTCCCCGCCCTCGCGGAGGGGGAAGGCCAGGGGGGGAGGGGAGGGGCAAGGCTGGGGGGATGACGGGGGCCGAGAGGGGTGTGCTGTGCCTGGGGGGAATGCATTCGGCAGCTGGCCCCGCGCGCCTCGCAGGCAGCGCCGGGGCGCACGCTTCCAGCGGCCGTGTAGGCCGATATAGAGGCTGGCCGACCTGGCGTGGCTGGCCGGGGCCCTCCCTCGGGCGCCGCGCGCGGTGCGCCTGCAGGCGGCGGGCCCTGGCATCGCCAGAGACTTGGGGGAGGGGTGCAAGGAGGACGGGAGGGAAACGGGGGAGAGGAGGAGGAGGAGGAGGAGGAGGAGGAGGAGGAGGAGGACGAGGAGGAGGGAGGAGAGGAGGAGGAGGAGGAGGAGGAGGAGGAGGAGGAGGAGGAGGAGGAGGATGGGATGATGGTGAAGGTGATTGTGATGATGGGGAAAGCTGATGCTGATGTGTGATGATGGATGGTAGTGGTGAGGGTGATGGATGCTGGTCATGGTGGATGATGGTGGGTGGTGATGACGGGTGTTGGCAACAATGGATGGTGAGGGTGATGATGTTGTTGTTGTTGATGATGATGATGATGCTGATGTTGCTGATGATGCTGCTGACGCAGGTGGCAACACTGATAACGATGATGGGTGATGGTGGGCGATGATGGTGATGGTGATGGTGGTGATGATGCTGATGAGCACGATGGTGGTGTTGGTGGTGGTAATGATCATGCCCGCGGGGATGTAAATGACGAGGGAGATGCTGATGATGGTGATGTTGTTGGTGGTTGTGATGATGCGGGTGATGGGGATTTCGACGATTCTGATGGTTTTGGTGCTGCTTCTGCTGCTGATGATGATGATGATGATGCTACTGCTGCTATCGATGGTGATCATCATGATGCTGAAATCAAGCCGCATCATGACGATTAACAGATTTCGAAGGGTACCTTTGCATCCTTGCCTCCTGGCCAGATCTTACCCTTAGTCTCAGAACAAGGGGTTCCAATATCGATTCTGATTTCGGCGTCTAAGGGCCTTTCATCCTTACCGCACATCTTTGTGGTCCTTGAAGTTTGTCATGGCAGTGCTGATGACGACGATGATGGTGATACTGGCAACGGTGATGATGGTGGCGTCAGCGGCGACGACCAGAACGATGACGATGATGGTTATGCTGAGGGCGGAGATAATGATGATGCTAGTGATGCTGATACTGCTGATGTTGATACTGTCCATGATGACGATGCTGATGAGGAAGATCATGATGATGACGACAATGACGATGACGACGACGACGACGACGACGATGATGATGATGATGATTATGATGATGATGATGGTGGTGATGATGATGATGATGAATGATGTCGACGACTGCGACGACAACGTCGACGACAGCGACTGTCGTTAGGATGATGGAACTGTTGATGATGAGGTTGGCGATGTCTACGACGATGTTGATGAGTATGATGATGATGCTGGTGATGCAGAGGATGGCGATACTGATGATGATGATACTGATGATGATGATGATGATGATGACGATGTTGACGATGACGATGATGACGATGACTCTGATGATGATGATTCAGATGATGCTGATGATGCTGCTGCTGCTGACGATGATGATGCTGATGCTGATGCTGATACTGATGCTGATGATTACGATGACCAGGAGTATGATGATGCTGCTGCTGAGGATGCTGGTGATGTAGATGGTGATGCTGCTGCTGATGATGATGCTGCTGCTGATGATGATTCCATTTGAAGAGGGTTACAACGATGATGCTGCTGCTGATTATGATGATGATGATGATGATGATGACTATACTGATGACGTTGATGATGCTGATGATGATGACGATGATGATGTTGTGGATTACGTGGGTGATGACGACGATTATGGTTACGTGGTGGTGATGCTGACGATGGTGGTGGTGATGATGATGAGGAGGAGAAGGAGGTCGAGGTTGGGGGAGGGTCCTGGAGGTGTTTGTGTGCCCGTGAAAACCTGGTGTGGGGGTTCTCGAGGCTCACTGGGGTCCCCGAGGGGAGGGAGGCAGGGGGGTTGGTGAGCTCGTGTACCTGGCGGAGGCTCCACGGCGTTGTGCAGCACTGGGGTGCGCACGCATTTCCAACGCGATTTAAGATTTTCCTTTCTTCTTGATAGCGTCTTCCAGATAGTACATCACGGCATGAATATAAAGCTGCGAACATCCGTGCGGATATCTCGGGTAGATCTTGGACCTCCTCCCTGGCGCGCCTCCAGTGCGCCAGGGGCGGCGCCGGAGGCGCCGCCAGGGGAGTCCAGCGCCCATCCAAGAAATCCGCATGGACCTTCGACGGGTTCTGTTTGTGCAGTCTGTTGTTCCTCCAGTGCTGCTCTGCTTCTCCGTCACGGCTGCCCGTTTTGCCCGCCTCCGCTCGCCTGGCTCTTTCTTTGCAGCAGCAGGCCTTAGAATGCACCAGCGGGCTAGCAGAGTACCACATTTGAAGTTGTCAATCGTGCCAGTTGGTAATACATAATGCGAGTTTAATGGTCGTTGCCCCTGATGCCACTGCTTTTTGACATCCCTTGTCCCCGCCCTGCTCTCGCGATCTGCACACCCGCTTCCGGGCATGATCGGGTGCCCGGCGGCTCAGTTCGGTCGGAGTCCCCGCGTGCGTGCCAAGACTTTTAACAATTTGCCGCCCTGGAGCTCTCCGTTCTCGAACGCTTCCTTGGCCCGACGAAGAGTCTGCTGCATGAGCGCAAGCTTTCGACGGGCCTGCGCGGAGATCTCGGGTCGGCGCTGGACCCCCCTCCCTGGCGCGCCTCCAGCGCGCCAGGGGCGGCGCCGGACTCGCCACCAGAGGGATGCAGCGCCGATCCAGTAAGTCCGCGTGGACCTCCGAGAGTTGCTGTTAGACAATATCGTTTATCACCACCCACCAAACCACCCCAACCCAACCCGAAGGCCTCAACTTGCCCTTCATTTCCAGTGTGGGGGGGTCGGGGAACATCGAGAAAACACATATGGAACCCATACCCCCCCCAACCCGAAATTCAGTTCTTCGGGTTGGGTTGGCGTGGTCTGGTAGGTAGTCAGTTTAACCTATCCCCGTCCCCACCGGGCCATGGCATCTCAGCCCCTATCATCCCACCCCTCCCACCCCCCCAAGTTGGGGATAGGCCCTTTGAAAACCGAGCCCATATCCCCATCCAGGTGCGTAAAGTCGGCCTGTGGGGCCAAGGCCATGCCAGTAGGGATGGAGATCGGATCAGCGGTGCTCAGTTAAGGCAGTTCGTTGATCCTCTATCCGGCTGGAGGGGGCGGGCCTCTAAAATTCCTCTGGCCTTCTGAGAAGTGTTTGAAGCTTTCCCCGAAGACGCATAAAACTTCTCAGAAGACTGGAGGGTTTCTGAGAAGCCCCGCCGTCTTCTGAAAAGGCCTCCACCTCCTCCTCCTCACCTCCCCCCCTCGCTCGCCGCCGAGGTTCGTTGTTCCTCTGTTGGCGAGACCACTCGATCCGACGCGCTGCGGTTGGTAGAGTCGGGCGGGACGAAAGGGTCGGATAGGGAAACGGGGGGGACGAACTCTGCTGTATGCAGCTGATCTCCGCCCAGCCGCCGGGCCCGTTCCTCGATACATGCGCCTCCCGGCGCCAGGAGGCGTCAGGAAAACCAGCCGCGTGATCTGATGCTCTGCCCGGCCCTTTGCTATCCTGCCCTCTCGCCCCCCCCCCGCCCCGGCGTCTGCACCTCCTCCGGCGAGCCGCGCGGCCTCAACGGGGCGCGGCGCTTGACGGCCGGGATTGAGGAAGAGCGCGCCGTGGCGCGGCCTCGACAGGGCGCGGCGTGGCTATCCCACCCTCTCGCCCCCCCTCCTCCTCCTCCTGCCCCTCCTCCTCCTCCTCCTCCTCCACCTCGTCCTCCTCCACCTCCTCCTCCTGCTGCTCCTCTCCTCCTCCTCCTCTCTCCTCCTCCTCTCCTCCTCTCCTCCTCCTCCTCCTCCTCCTCCTCCTCCTCCTCCTCCCTCCTCCCTCCTCTCTCCTCCTCCTCCCCCCCCTCCTCCCTCCTCCTCCTCCTCCTCCTCTCCTCCTCCTCCTCCTCCTTCTCCCTCCTCCTCCTTCTCCCTCTTCCTCCTCCTTCTCCCCCTCCTCCTCCTCCTTCTCCTCCTCCCCTCTCCCACTCCTCCTGCTGCGCCTGCGCATCAGTAGCCATTCGGGTTCAAGTGCATGGCTGCCGGAGACAGCACTTCAGCTGAAATGCTGAAGCTAGTCGCGGAACAAATAATGCAGATTTAGGCAGACTAGCAACAGTTTACAGTACGCCCGAGGATGGAGAGGAGGCCCTGGAGAGGCCCAGCGCGCATGGAAGCGCGCAAGCGCAAGGCTCCGACTGTGAGATTCTAGTCGGGAGCGGCTGCCGCGGGTTGCGCCCACTGGCGGCCGCTCGTGGGGCTCCAGTGTGGGAGGTGGTCGATGCCCCCGCTGGCCAATACCCTGGCTGCGAGCCTGCGCCAATTGGGAGTGCCAGCGCTGAGGCGACCAATTGCGGAGCTCCCGCGAGGAAGGTGGCCGGTGCCCCCGTTGGTCCAGACCCTGGCTGTGAATTGGAGAGCCTCACCAGTCAGGAGCGACGCCGAGGGAAGCCATGGAGGCTCGCCCTGACGGCATCGCTCGTCGGGCGCCCGCGATGGCGGTGGTCGTTGCCCCCGCTGGTCGCGCTACGCAGAGCTCGAACATGAAGGGCGTGGTCGAGCCCCTCGACATGGCAGGAGGTCGACGCCAGTGACGACGAGGAGGAGGGTGAACCCAGGGTAGGGGCCCTCTCTGCCCCACCATTGCCCGAGGAGGGCGCTTTCCAGTAACGCGGGCGAGATGGGAGGCTGCCCGAGGACACCCTCAGGCCTTCCGCCGCGTAGCACTGAAGGGTTGACAGGCGGCGAGGCCAGCCAGACACCCGCGTGAAATCGCGTCGTCGTCGTTGATAATGAGCAGGCTTCTGGCGCGGACTGGGCAACTGTCGCCATTGTCGTGGGCTCTGGTAGGTCCAGCGGAGTGGAGGTGCACGCACACCCAGACTCAGGCGAGACCTTGCGGCTTCCTGGGTGGTTGCGGATTGCGCAGTGGTCGCCACCTTCGTGGGCTCATGGGAGGTTCAGCGGGGTGGAGGAGTGCGCGCGCCCAGACGAGACCTCGCGGCTCCCTGGGTTTCTTCGAAGTGCGTCACGGTTGCCAGTTTCGTGAGCTCTTGGGAATCCCACCAGGGTGGATGCACACACGGATCTAGATGAGGCCTCGCGGCTCCTTGGGGTGGCTGCGATGTGCGCAATTGTCGTCTTTTTCTTGGGCTCTTGGGAGGTCCCGCGGAGTGGAGGTGTACGCGCACCCAGACGGGACCTCCCTGCTCCCTGGGTGGCTGCGACGTGCACAATTGTCGCCACATTTGGCTTCTGGCAGGTCCAGCGGAGTCGCCACGTTCATGGGCTCCTGGGAGGTCTTTGGAGTGGAGGACCACCACCAACGGAAGTACATTATATGTACTCCACCCTTCATTCCATTCAATATTCAGTATTTTTCAATCTGATACTTCAACCTCTCTTCAGTCGAGGCCTCGCGGCCCCTTGGGTGCCTGCAAGGTGCGCAGCGGTCGCTACTTTCGCGAGCTCCTGGGAGGTCCAGCAGTGCGGAGATGTACGCGCATCCACTTGACACCTAGTTGCTCCTTGTGTTGCTGCGACGTGTGCAATTGTCGCCACGTTCGTGGGCTTCTGGGGAGTCCAGCGGAGTCGGAGACCTCGCGGCTCCTTGGGAGGCTGCGACGTGCGCTACGGTCGTCACTTTCGTGGGCTCCTGGGTGACACGGCGGAGATGAGAGCAGCATGTTTGGAACTGCCTTCCTATGCATGGAGCGTACATACACGCATTCGCCTCGTGTGAATAAGGTTTTTTGGACCGCGTCTCGGTTCTGCTGTTTTGGGGGGGCGAACGTCGGATCTCAGGATGCTCCCCCCTGCGCCTCTTCCATGGAACGGGGCCGCTCTGCTTCTTGACATACCTTCAGCGTGCTCTTGCCGTGCAACTTGGCAGTGGTGCTCAAACCATCTCTATCTCTCTCTCTCTTTCTCTCTCTCTCTCTCTCTCCCTTCTCCCCCCTCTCTCTCTCTCTCTCCTGCTGTTCCCGCTGCTGCCGCTCATCCCCCCTCACCCCTCGCTCCCTCCTCGTGCACGCGCCGCCGCCCCCGCTCCTGCCCGTGCTGTGGCTCTGCTGCCGGTGCTGCTCTCCCTCCTCCTGTGGCTGCCGCCTCCGCTGGCTCCCTCGCCTCCGCGCCCTCTGTGCCTCCTCGTCCTGCGCCTCCTGCTCCTGCTGCAGCTCCTGACCCTGCTGCTGCTGCTCTCCTCCTCCTCCTCCTCCTCCTCCTCCTCCTCCTCTTCGCTGCTGCTGCTCCATGGCCTCGTCCTCCCGCTCTTCCTCCTCCTCCCGCTCCGCCTCATGCAAGGATGCTGGGGCCATGACATCTCACCGTAGACTCACGGCCCCTCTTCTTCGTCTTCTTCTTCTTCTTCTTCTTCTTCTTCTCGTCTTCTTCTTATTCGCATCCTGAGTGTTTTTCTTCGTCTCTTCTTCTTCGTACTCTTCTCATTCGTAGTATGCTTAGTCTTCTTGTCATCCTTCGTCCCCTGGCCCTGGCCCTCCCTCGTCCGCGCGCGTGCCTCGGGCAGTGATTTACGGACCCCCCTCTCTTGGACGCCCCCGCCTCCGCCAGTCCTGCGTGGGCCAGAGCAAGCTGCACGTCAGGTTCGACTCGAACGCCGCGTGCCCGCCGCTGCAGCCGCACCAGGAGCGGCGCGCGCGGGGCGGCGCGAGGAGGCATGACGGAGGAGAGGGCACAGGAGGAGGAGGAGGAGGAGGAGGAGGAGGAGGAGGAGGAGGAAGGAGGAGGAGGAGGAGGAGGAGGAGGAGGAGGAGGAGGAGGAGGAGGAGGAGGGGGGAGGAGGAGAGGAGGAGGAGGAGGAGGGGGAGGAGGAGGAGGAGGAGGAGGGAGGAGGAGAGGAGGAGGAGGAGGAGGAGGAGGAGGAGGAGGAGAGGAGGAGGGGGAGGAGGGGGAGGAGGGGAGGAGGGGGAGGAGGAGGAGGAGGAGGAGGAGGAGGAGGAGGAGGAGGAGGAGGAGGAGGAGATGGAGGAGCGGGCCGCCAGCCTGCGTGGGCATCGCTCGCTCGACAGTCTGGGCCAGGCGTGTCCACCGCGGACGCCCGTGGGCGCGGGCCGAGGCAGCCGCACGCGCTCCCGCGAGCTCCCGCCCAGAGGCGGCGGCGGGTGCGTGCCCGAGGCGGAGGAGCACCGCGTGCGCGTCGGATGTGCGAGAGGGTGGAGTAGGGGAGCGAAACATGATATAAACATAACAACTCGTAGGTCCGCGCGGATTTCTCGGATCGGCGCTTGGGCCCCCCGGCGGCGCCTCCGGCGCCGCCCCTGGCGCGCTCCGCGCGCCACGGAGGGGGTCCAGCGCGGATCCGAGAAATCCGCGCGGACCTCCGAGTTTTTATGTTTATGCCACTTGTTGTTCCCCTATGGAGGAGACGGCGGACGGGGAGGGGACGAGGGAGACGGTGGACCCCGACGTCCTCGAGTCGTGGAACAAAAGCCACGGCGGACAGTGTTTGCCGGCGTTTCGGCCGTTCAGGCCCGCGCCTGGCCCCGTGGCCGTCGAAGAAGGAGTCGGGATGGACAACCTGTCCCCAGGAAGGAGTCCAGACCTCTGGGGGGTCGACACTGTGAAAAACTCCACGTCGGATGTATGGAGATGGCGGAATAGGAGGAGGGAGAAGGAAGGGAGGAGGAGGTGGAGGTGGAGTAGGGGACGGGATAGTCGTTTGATTGTGAATGCCAGAGGTTCGCTGTTGGACGGATCGCCCAGTTGCGGGTCGCTTGAGCGGCATCGGATTCAGCGATGGTTCATCGTTGATGTTTGAACGGCATTGGAGCGTAATCCGACATCGTTGTGTCCTCGGCGATGCCACGTATGGCATCCACAGGACTGAAGGGAGAGACTGGTGTGAACGAGAAGGATGGGACGGATCAGGAGGGGGAGGTGGAGGAGAAGGATGAGCAGGATGAGGAGGATGTGGATGTGGCACATCGGCTGCAAGATGGCCGACCTAGACTTCGTGCGTGTGCCACCCAACAAGATGGCAATCGAAGGGCCCAAGCTTGTGTGCAATGTTTTGCCGCCGCCTCCGTGGTGGCGCCCGTTTTGAGCCGTCCTGCCGCCCCCCCGGCCGTCCTTCAAAAAGAAGGGCACGCCTCGAATCGAGCCTTCCTCGCCTCCCTGGCCAATGGTGTCAGGGGTGTGGTCTGTGCTGAGTGTGGGGCTGGGGGCGCCACTCTCTCTGCGTCAGTCTTGGGCGCGCGGGCACTGAGGAACCTGGCCGAGGGCAGGCAGTTGCAAGGCAAGAGCGGGATCTTGTTGACGCAGCCCTGGAGGCCACGGGATCTGGCTCAATTCCGCCAGGCTGCCAAGCCAGGGCGTGTAGGGGATCTGTCGCTGGCCCTCGTTTGGGTGGATCGCAGTCCAGGTGAGGTGAGAACGAACTCTTGCTCTGCTCCCCCCCGATGTTTTTTCTATCAGGACTTTGGGACCTCCCCTCTTCTTGCTGTGATGCTCGCACAGAAGGAAGAGGTGGAGGTGGAGGTGGAGGTGGAGGTGGAGGAACTGGAGAAGGAGGAGGGACGGAGGGACGGAGGGACGGAGGGAGGGAGGGAGGAAGGGGGGAAGGGAGGGAGGGAGAGAGGGAGGGAGGGAAGAGGTGGAGGAGGAGGAGGAGGAGGAGAAGGAGAAGGAGGAGGAGGAGGAGGACGAGGGGACGAGGAGGAGGAG